ATTAAAAGGAGGAAAGCATCCCTCATTTGTCGGAGCAGGGGAAAGTTCATGATCATGCTTTGTTCAGTTTTTCTGTCCCCTTTTTCCCCTGAAAGAAGAAACCATCGTTTTGAATCCCTTGATTTTTGGTGTAACCACGACACATTGGAGAACCTGCTCTTTCCGCATTAGACCTACACAAACAACTCTGCTGGAAACAGTTTAGGATGAGCAGAAAAACAGAAGCGTTGTTGAGTTGCCCATGCCAAGTAAAAGCAATCGTCACAGCCAGTAGTATTAGAATAGTGAAGGGGTAGTTTTAATAAAATTCCCAATTGCTCATTGTAAGGGATTCTAAATAAAATTTTAGAACGAGGAAAACACAATGTAAGTCCCTATTTTATGACTCATCTTGTCATTGGCATTTAGTGTCTCGCTAAAAATAAAGGATAAGTTCATCAATTTTCTTTTTCTTTTCTTCTTTCTGTCGTTCCCTTTACAGATCAAACTTTATAAGAGTGTTTATGAACAGATGCGCCCGATGCCATTAAAGTGAACGACTCTGTTAACGTATAAGAGGCATTCACTGAGTTTCTATGATTGACTGTCCAAGCTGTGACTTGACGTTTAGCACTTTTCAAAAGAGATATTAATGTATTTGAACACAACAACAACAACAAACGTCATCGTTCACTTTCTCCCAACTGCTGTCAATTATTTACTCTCCAAGTCAAGATCTAGAAACTGATTATCTGATGTACAAAAACGTATTTTTTAAAATCCGATTAAAGGTATATGAGACACGACTTGAGCTTGAGAAAAATATCTGCCACAAAGGAAATCGAAATCGGTATGAATTACAAATGTATAACTGATGACTGCGATTATTAAAGCTATGTATTCCCGATCCGTTAGGAGTTTATTGAAGGAAGGACAAAAAACGGAAAAAATAAAAAAAGAGGATACAGCTGTCAGATAATCTCTATTGTTGTGAGTCCTTCAAGGAAGACGCGTTGCCATTATATACATAGCAAAGAGCTCTCTAAGAGTGACTAAATTGATATATAATATAACTGCTAAAATTTCCTCTGTGTGTGTACGAACGCGCGAGTGTGTGCGCACGTGTGAGTGTGTGTTTGTTTGTTTGTATGTATCCGTGTGTGTGTGTGTGTGTGTGTGTGTGTGTGTGTGTGTGTGTGTGTGTGTGTGCGTGCGTGTGTGTGTGTGTGTGTTATAATTTCTTTCCAATGTAGACCATTTACATCACCCGTCGACAAAAATTAGATCGTATACTGACGGGCTTCGACTCTGCCTGTCAGAGCCAGCCTTGGCTGGAGGGGACACAACCTGCCAGGAGAAAGATTGAGGGTTTTGGTGATATTTAATTCTTAAGCAGGAATCGAACTCGGGCCCTACTCTGTGTTAGAATGTGATGGGCCTAATCGCAACATCGCAGACGCCGGTCGTGTCTGTCTGAGTGTATGGTTTTTTTTGGTTTGTGTGTGTGTGTGTGTGTGTGTGTGTGTATGTGCTTCTCTGATGGTTGTACTGTAACGGTGTGCACGTGTGTACGCACGTTTTTACACACGTGAGACTCAAGATAGGTAGAAAGAAAGAAAGAAAGAAAGAACAAAGAACGAAAGACCACAAGCACGAACGAAAGAACGAAAGAGCGAAACAAAGAAAGGAACAAAGAAACAAAGAAACAAAGAAACAAAGAAAAGAAACAAAGAAGAAAGAAAGAAGGAAAGAAAGAAAAAAAGAAAAAAAGAAAGAAAGAAAGAAAGAAGGAAAGAAAGAAAGAAAAAAAGTTACAAAAAAACGAAGAGATGAGGATGGGGCAGATGGTCGAGTGTTATTTCAGACAAAAAGATATCGATTGCGATCATGACACATCGAAAATAAGAGTTCGCGGAGTAATAAGTAAGGGTGGGGCGCTGCCGACTGAACGAGTGATGAAATACTTGAGTGAGTCTAAAAAGTGAATACATCAACGGCCGGGTGAATAAGAGGAAGAAGATCTCTCTCAATAGGGAAGATGTAAAAAATAAAAGCATCTGATGGTGTAGTTGCAAAAATTGTAAATCGGGAACATAATATTTTTATGATTTAGTTACAGAACTGAAGATATTG